ACATTTTTTTTATTATTTCCCACATTGCTCTTTCTCTTTATTATCATCAATCCTGCAAAAGTACGGTGAGTGATGGATAGCTATAGATTCATTGGCGTGCGGGTACCTTACAAAAACGTTTCGCAACATTTCTCCTTGAAGAAGAGCGCGTGATTATCAGTTTCTGTTCTAATTTTTATGCCATAACCATACCATGATTCTGACCTTTAAAACATCCAGAATTTTTAGACCCACGTTTTCGAGTCTATCGAAACGCTCCAGTGTGTAGCTGCTAAGTTGACTGGGGTGATTCTACAGAAAAGAATTTTTATTACTTCTGTATAACAAGCTTACGATAGCAGATAACACAGAAAAACATAAAATAGCACCTGACTCCTCGAGTGTCGCAAATGCTTGTCGTTCGTGAAAGTTAGCTTGCCGGTAAAAAATCGATCATGTTGCTAGTACGCTTGGAAGAATGGTCAAGGAGCGTCCTTGAGTGCAATAAATATGCAAAAACAAGAAGTGTTGCAAATAATTGCTGGTTTGCAAACTTACTATGAGCAAGCTGAAACACCATCTTGGGTCATGGTAAAGGTCGTGGATATTTCTCAAAATCTTACCTGTGAGGGGTTACTTCATGCGTTACGCAAGGCTCAGCAAAGCGAACGTTTTTGGTGCAAAAAAAATAAGGTCATCATTACTTCTCTCAGAAGCGACGCAGCACTCCAAACATGAAGCTTGTCGACATGACACCAGAGATTTGGCACCAAACCTGGCATCTTGCGATGGGCCACAGAATATCCGAAGCAACAGGCTATAAGGCCGTGTCTGATATCCCCCTGGTGCGTGGTTTGTCTTCCGATGAGCTATTGAAGGGCTACCAGAAGAAAAAAAAACATATAACTATCATCCATGGAGCTCTGTATAATTTTTTTCAGTGGCACTTTTTCAGGAACATTTATCTAAACATCGCAATCTCAACAAGCCTGCATGGAACACTAACCTGAAGACTGCCCTATTACGAAGCACAGTTTCTTATGTTATCCGTGTTTTTTCTCTCCGAACTAGTTCACTTGAAAGACGCCAAGAACTGTAGGCCACACTGCAGCCACTAAGTGGGTAATCTTATTATGCGAATGCACTGCAATTGTTCGCGAATGTTCGTTGCTTGTTTCTGCAAACGATGAGCAGTCTATTGTGCGAATGGTGGCGTCTACTTTGTGATAGAACCGTCACAGCTGCCAGTTACAAAAAAAATACCAGCTCTACAAATCAGTACAGGCTTCCTAGTCCAGTTATGAGGACAGCGACAAAAAACATATATCTAAGCTGCCTGCAAGATGCCGTATTGCCTGACCTATCTTGACGTGCTTGGTTGTCAATTTCTCTTGCCAACAATTCTAGTACGAATTTTCTGCCCTTGATACTCGGCCCGAAAATTAAAACTTTGCTTTCCGTACTTGCGCTTCGAGTAGAGAAAAAACGCTTCGTGCCAAAATATAACGACCAGCGGTAAGTAAAAGATACACACCTAGCCAAATGATTTGTGGACAAGACAAACAGAAAAAGTTTATTTCAACAATGCGTGGGTAAGAAGTGACGTCATGATATATATATATATATATATATATATATATATATATATATATATATATGCAGCGCGTTAAGCGTTATCGCCACATGGACACCTTGTAAAGCAGTCCCAAGCTGTAAAACTAGCGGTGTGCACATTACTACGCATGCGTTACCTCGGGCTCTCAGTGACAGCCATATCACTGGCGACGCATATCGCCTTGTAAACACCGCCTTTTCATAGCGTGGGATCACTTGACCGTTACAACATGGAGATAAAAGCAGAAGGACATTCACCACAATCTGCTGCTCGTAGTCCACATATTCCAAAACACAGGTGCACAATGTGGTTGGTTACAAAGGTCGAAGGCGAACAGCACGTAAAAAAGCAAAACTTTTTCAGGTATCTTAAAAAGCCTAGATAGCCAGTAAAGATGTGTATGCGGATTAGAAAAAAATAAAAGTTGACCTTATATCTTGGGTGAAGCATAAGTAATCCACGTTTAGAATATGCCAATTAATTAAATATTGAAATATTAGAACACAGACGCACATTTACTGGCCTCATGGCAATGGCCAGTATAAAACATATTGGGTGAAGCTTTCTAATCTTTTTCCTGAATATGCTATTCGTCTATCAGGGTTCAATGAAAAAACTGAACAAGCAATATAAATGATAAGCCATTTATAATGAGGAGATCTCTCCAATGTATAGGAAGCACTAACAAAGGCTACGCGTTAATATTTTTTCACATAAATCAGTATTTCCATGTATCAATATTTTGAAATATCAATGGCAGCAAAAGTTTTGTATTGGACAGGGAAGAGTCAAATGCACAATATAATTGGCAGATGCACTACCCCTGATATTTTCTTTACAAGATTCTAAAGTCAAATGAAACTAAACTCCCGAAGACACAAACATATTGTTGTATCTTCGAAAATCTCAGTGGAGTCTTCAAAATGAACAAAAACCTAAGTGAAATAAAAAAACTACGTTAAAAAATACAATGATACAGCAGTCTCACATCTATGCAGCCTAAAGTTGACGGGAACAGTGAAAAAAATCAAATTGGTGTTAACTAATACTGCTAAAGAATGCACGTAGGCTTCGTTATAGACGATTAGTTTGCAATCTGCTCCCTTATTGCCCTACAAGCGCAGATGATAGCAAGGATTTGTGTGAACCGTAGAGATAGAGACTATTGTACTGTACGAAAAGTGGCCATTTTTTGGTGCGGATGAATTTGCACGGAAGCTCCAATATTCTGTCTTTCTTTTTTGCGCCTTATATATATATATATATATATATATATATATATATATATATAGTCCAGTAGATCCTCCGTGAGCGGTCACAACGTGGTTTATTTCGACGTTTCGGCCTAGAGTCTGGCCTTCATCCATCCTGATGAAGGCCAGACTCTAGGCCGAAACGTCGAAATAAACCACGTTGTGACCGCTCACGGAGGACCTACTGGACTATATACAACGCTACGGCCACTCAACCACCATGCCTGCCTATATATATATGTATATATATATATATATATATATATATATATATATATATATATATATATATATATATATATATATATATATTGTAAGCACAAAAAAAACTTGCTTATACAGATAGGAAACAGTGGCCTCTATATACTCTATTTTTTTCCCCTTTTGGTTACCTACGAATATTCAATAACGCTATTTCGTTTTCCCAGTGTGGGTGTTAAACTTCTCGGCTTTTTCGTTTTCGTTATTAAAGTACTTTTTACTTTAGGTGTAGCTTAAAGCTGTACCGTTCGTATTTACTCGCACAAAATGTATAATTATCAAGAGTAATATAACCATTAGGAATATAGGTACAGCTGGAAAGTTGCTAAAGCACTCTGCTTCGCTCAAAAGCAAAAATATTTACCTCATTTCTGGATGCCTCAATTATACACTAAAATGTCTTGAAGTAATGACAAAGTCTCAAGTAATGCGTAAACTTCTTACTCGTATACTGACTCGGCACATCAAAGAAGCTTCGTTTATTTTTTTTTTGAGACTCTTGTCGGCAGCTCTGACTGAATACCCTTCGCCAGAAGCAGACACAATTTTCTCAGAGCTGTCCCGCAACTACAATTGTGTACCCATGGACGCTCTTCAGTGCAGCATTTGATGCCTTCTTTGGTCCAGGTAGTGCTGTACAATGGTATGGTCGTTATTGTGCACAACGAAAAGTAGTGATAATTCACATTCACGTTTGGCGACCAGACTCACTTTCTACTACAAACACAGGGCTTGGTGTATGAAGATGTAAATTAGGCGCGGAATGTTGTGAAAGTAGCGCGAAGAGGAATGCAGGCAGTAATTGGGATACAACATTGCTACAGTGGCCACAAACGTATGCGAGGTGAGAGTATAAAGAAAGTGTTCACAATTAAAAGTGTACAAATGGGGCATTCTCCTACTCTAAATTGAGAATTAATGAGAAGCACATCAAAAAATACACTCGGCTAAGCACCGTATGGGCAATCCGTTGTTGCCACGCCAGAGTCACACCGTACAGGCTCGACTGAATAAAAGGTTTGATTGGGCCCTGCGTACATCTGCAGAATGAAGCTAAGTCTACCATTAGCAAAGATATATTGTGACACAAATGCTCGGCTGTGGAAGTGGTATAATGGCTGATGGACCGGCGCAAAGGGCAGGCGACGCTATCTGTGCACCCAGAGAGAGTCCGTCCAGATCTACTCTTTCTACCACGTTTCACAGTGGAGCCCGAGGGCCAAACTTGGAACACGAGTGCAAAAACAATTGACGTCACGCCACAGGGTGTCGAGGCACTTCAGCATGCAAGGTTCGGAGCAACAATAACCGGCCGAGCGCATTACGTGGCACCCAGGTGAAGGAAAGAGACTTTGACTCCTTGCTTTTTTTTTTTGGTTCACTCCACAAGAAATTAAGGCTTCCCTACGGAGGCAGGACCTGTCTCGGCCTCTCGGTCACGTTCACCCGATGAACCCGATTTTACGTGGTGCGCGAGACACCACCCATTCCAGAACAGTTGCCGCAACTTTTTTAGAGGAGCAACCGACGCAAAAATGGCTTTGCCATAAGGAGGGAGGCGAGGATAAGTCGTTCGGTAGCTAATTCCTCCGTCATGGCACCTCTTCTAGCATCGCCATTTTTAACGTCTATACACCTTCTTGAACGACTCGAGTAACTGGGCATTGTTTACAAACGTGAACGACGCAAACGAAGACGGAAGAAAACAACGCCATGTATTCGCGACGCGAAGATACGACATGCAGCGAACCGTGCGCGTGTCACCAAGCTACATCTCTGCAAGTATTCATGTGTGATTAACTTCTTTCCAGCCGCAAGTGCTAACATCGACAATAGTTAGCACACACAACAACACACCACATAGTTACTATTTTCGCTGCAGCAAATTTTTATGGCTTTTTTTAGTTGCGCACATGAAACAACGCGTGCAGTATTAATGTGCAGCGGCTAATAATAAGGACGATAGCCGGACATAGGCGCAATATTTGCCGACACAAGACGCACACAAAAGCAGGCATTCTGTGGTGCTTACGAAAAAGAAGCAGGTACTTTCATCTCCCGCAGAAGGCAGGCGAAACGAATCAAGTTTGCTGTAAGCTACTGGGTAACTCTTAACCATGCCTTCCCCACCCTTCCCTCTGCTCCTGCGTATATTTCCCAGCATACCACACCAGTTATACTGGTGATACAGCATTATATTTTGTGCATGAGCATGCTACCATATATAAAATGGCATCGCGTAAAATTCTTTCATCACATTTAATACCGCAGGGAGCTCAGATACGACAGAGTTTGAGAATTGGGGGTTCCGAATAGAGCTTCGGGACCCAAGAAATTTGCGAGCTACAAGGGCTTATGAGCAAAACCCAAGCCACTCCTGGGCTCTGGCATTCGCGTTCTTCCAAGACCCGGAAATCAGAGACCAGCGTGTTTCCCCCAAAGCGTCGCCAGCGAGACGACGTGGTTGCTAGGAGGGCCACTTGCAGTACGGCCCACGTCCCGCACTCCGACAAGTGTGGTGCCCGGTCAGTTCAACCCGATTCTCAAACATTGCTGATCCTCCGAACGTAAGAGCAGCCTACCCGACGCAGCTTGAGGAGCAAGTGTCTTTGGTTCCCAAGGTTTCTATTCGCTGAATGTATGCACACACAGTTCCTCGCATAATCATTCAATTGTGAAGTCTCATGGTTAACCGAAGACTTAATTACACTTTTTCATCGAAACCATCAAATGGAATTATTGATGTGGTTCTTGGCGCAAAAACAGTTTAACGCACATCCTTTGTTCTTTGTAAACGCGACGAGCCAATGCCGCCTGTAATGAAGGCCTTCGAAGGCTCATCGCAGTTTAATTTTCTTTCTCATAAACAATACACTCTGGGCATGGAAAATGGCTGATACATCTCTCTGCCTTATCGAGTTCATGTGTTTACAAAGTGGTCGGACGCGTTTTCAAGGTATCCGGCTGAGCGGCGTAGAGAATCCATCACCCGATAATTGTGCGGGCTCAACTGAAAGGCTGAAAAAATAATAAAAACAAAAAAGCAAATGAAAGTAATCACACTCAGGGGCACTGATGAATGGAAGTGCACTTACGCTCACGATAAAAAATGGCGCGGCAAATCGATTGACGAAAAAGCACCAGCATTCATTTTCTTACTCATTGAAAATACATTGCTAGATATTTGTCAAAGTAAAAAACAGCGCGGAAACAGCCAGGACGAGACAAATTAAACAGGAGTCGTCCTCGTTGTTTTCGTGCTGTTTTCTACTATGAATGTGCACCCGCAAGCGCAAGTATGCACGTTTTTCAAGTTTAGATACTTGTATTGACTCGGAAATTCCACTCACCGATGTCATCACTGCATTAAAATGACAGCGAAATTAAGAGCTGTGCAAGTGAAGACTGCGCAGGATGATTTTTGGAAGCACTTTTCTGTTCATGACTAAAGTGAGTGCAAAACACGGTGTCGTCTAGAGCAGTGTCAGATGATGCGAAAGCAGGTGTAAAAAGCTCCTTTTCAAGCGAAACCAAAGATGACGAGAGAGATATGGCTCGCGGGCTACCTATTGCTCAGGGCCCGTCCACGCATCTCAAAATCCTGTTACTTATACTGAAGAAATGATGAAAGCATTTGTTCACATGTCAGTCATTCTACGTTTCCTTGACACATAAATTAAGAAGCCAGGCTCTTTTTTTGAAGCACATTCTGTGATATTCTCTGTGGTGATTTGTCCAATATAAACAAAAAAGCCACAATGTTAATCAATCTGACACTTTGCATTTCCGAAACTTCAGTAGTTAAGTCACGTGTTCATAGATACGTACAAAAAATACTACGATAAATGTTTCCCTCCTAATAAACAAAACCTGTTTGAGTGATGAAAGAGACAGACGAACAATTAAAGGCTTTTTTATACGAAATGTTGATACCTTATATCTTCACAGATATTTACGTACAATGCTGTGATGTAGTTAATCAACTGTACTTTAAAGATGATTTGCCCACAGAATGTGCAAAGCGCGTTTGCAAATTGCATTTACTTATTTTTTGCGAAGCCAACGGAGTACTCACTTCCTTGAAGGCTTACATTAAGACTTTGACATCGGTGAAAAAATAAAAGCAAAACATTAATAATGGGAGGCACAATTCCTGTCGGGTATAGTTATCAATAGATGATCACACGATAGCTATTCATCTTGTCATTATACACACGAATATAAAATGAAAACTCAGGCGCACACAGGCTTCTCCAAGAACGCGCGCACTCATTTTGCTAACTCTATAGCGCTACATTTGTTCCGACCATGACTGTAATAAACTAGGAGCGGAACGCTCATACTTGGCACATACAACAGCTCGGGGCATAGAAGACATCGGTAGAGCATTGTCTTGCTCCACTGTGCGCGGTTTTTTTTATGCCTCCTCTTCTACGAAAACGACAAACGAAGAGCCAGCAGCACTGAGGCGAAACAGCCGAATTCTCATCCACGAGGGGTGAATTCCACCCTGGCGAAACAACTTTGCCGCGTCTTTTGGTCACGAATCTTAGTTTTCTTATACAGGTGAAATGGCAAGAACGGTTTGAAGACGGATGACAGGAAAGTAGTGCAAGAATACTGGAGAGTCTTAGCCACACAGTGCATGAACGCTTTGTTTAACACATCGGCATGACCTTGAGGACGAGTATTGCCAAAGCTGTGGAGTAAAAAGTTTCACCAAGAGCGTTTTATTGGCACCGCACTTCAGTTTCGAAGTGGCGTGGTGGAATGTACTGAAATGATTGCCTTTCAGGCGTTAACCTATCCAGCTACAGGGGCGCATTGTTAAGTGCCCTTTGAGCGTTGAACCGATCGGCAGGTTACACGCAGCAGCTGTTTAGTCAGTGCAGTCGCAAGACGATTTATGGTGCTCTCATCCCTCAAGACAGAACGCATCAAAGGGCTGTTCTACGCTAATAAAATTATTAAGCCGAAGCTTACAACTCGTCATGCAACGATAGCTCCATGGAGGTAAAACTCGATGAACTCCAACCCGGTGTCAGCGAATACATCAGCATAAAAGCTCGAAACTTTCATTGGTGCAGATTCGTGAAAAGACAACCGGGGATACAGGCATCAAACAGGTAAGAGCTAGCGAGAAAAATCTCTTTGCTCCAGTATAATGAACAGGTACAAAGCTTATGAGTTTCCTGGTCGCTCTGCTTGCACATAGCAAGCTCTCCATGTCACTGTCTTTCGATAGTCCAGAAGTAAGGCGAAGGAACACACCCCATATTGGACTGCGTAACTTGTGGGATAACAGCAACGGGACTTAAGACAGGCAATTTTTTTCTCACTAGTGGCAAGACAGGATGGTCAAGAAGCAATTCCACCACAATTTTTGTCGACGCCATTCGATCTTTCATTTTAGAACCTACCTCCGATTACAACGGTACAGGTCATTGCCGTGATCTATTGAATTCTCTGTTATCCAGCGGACTACTTCTGAGCGGATCATTTAGGGGAAACTTGCTGTCTGTTCAAGCAGCGAATTCGCATGAAGGCTGGTATAGTTGGTGAATGATATTAACAGTGACTTCCCCTTTATTGAAAGGAAGTAATAGTTTCACTTATAGTACCATGCATGCTCTGCTTCTGCTGCTAATTATGATACTGGACTCCAATGAGCATAGTGGCCTTGATACCTGCAAACTTTGGAGCTGGTTTGTGTATACATTTACCTAGAAAATACTGGATATTATGTTCACCAGTCTTCTGCTTTGATTCTTATAATATGACGCGAATACATCGTGCGCAGATAACAAGCTTAATTACCCCAGCCTAAAGCAACTAGAGTAGCCACACGAAAAGATTTCGCATGGGCTTAATAAATTCCGGCAATTCTAACATCGTGGTAATACTGGAGATTTGTGTTGCATGCATCTAGATTGAGCCCAATTTTCGTGTCACCTCTGTGAACCTTACACACAACCATTGCCATAATTGTCTGAAGATATTTTTGGGGTGACAATTTCGAAGCCTCATAGGTTGACAGATTTTGCGCAGCAGTGGATGGCTCTCCAGCTCGGCACGAGCGAACGATGAGGCGGTGCAAGCAGTGCGACATGGGCGATGTTTTGTCGTCCTAAGGAGGCACCGACAGTGGACGTGATGGGCGATGCGGTGGATGATGAGTGGTCCCCCGGGGAGGAATGTGGGGGTGAAGAGGTGAATAAGCGTGTCCGAGTGCACACTCAGTGGCGGATGGCCCGGGCTTTGGGCGGGTGAAGGGGCGGCGCCCAGGCACGTCGCTCGCATTCAAGGCAGCGGGATGGAGATTGTGCAGAACACCGAACGGTGGCGGCGGCGGTGGTGACGGGCTCGCTCTTCTGGATGGTGGCAGGGGCTCGTCAGGCGTACTCGGACTCGGACAGGCTCTGTGTCTCGGAGAGCCGCCGCACGGTGCTGGCGTAGTAGTCGTCGGGCAGGTCCTCGGACGGCTGTCCCCGGGCACTCGCGTACGAGATGGACTTCTGGTAGCTGAACACCTGCCGCTCCAGGTTGTAGTTCTCAGTCTGGAGAGCAGCGATCTCACGTCTGCGCAGAAAAACGTGAGTGTTCCAATAATTTTGCTCGAATGGAGAGATTCTCTACAATAATGGCTATAATGGACGATAACACTTCATCTGCTGGCTACCAGGCACAATAGATATCACTAAGTGTAATACTACAAGCTCTTCGCTAATGACTACACTGAACTTTCTACGAAACCAGTTTGCCCCTCGTAAATATGCCTAATCCAATAGTTGTCGACATTATATAGCAATATATTGCTCACGTCTTGTCATCGGAGAAAAAATACGAATGAAATGTACTATATAGATGTTGACCTGAGCTACCAGCAAGTCTTTGAAGGTGTGAGATCTCGGACTAAACCGCGGCCCCTAAGGAAGTCATCAAGAGCACAAACAGTGAATGTTTTCTTTGTATTCAGGCGCAAACACATGCCAGTCTTGGCAATTAGATTTTGCCATAGAGTTCGTACAATCCTGGGCAAATTCATATTCCACATCAGCGGGGGAGAAGTGCCCTCTATTCTTATCTCATTATCGCAATTGAGCCTACGTCCTCAAATGATTTAAGAGCAAACTGTGAAAAACAGTATTTTTCCATTCTTAAAAGCTTGCGCACAAAGGGCTGCTCTCCACACTTCTGATTAGGCGAATGCTTTAACTGTTTACAGCCCTATCCCAATATCTGGCGCCATCACTCACTTCATTTGATGACACTGGGTGCGTGCAATGTCGTCGTATTTGTGGTACGTGGCCCCGAATAGGAGCTGCGAGTCGAGCCATTCTACGTGCACAGTCAGGTTTCCGGCACCGTCCAAGTACATGCCAGCTGACTCACGAATCTGCGGTAGAGGGTGCGACGCGAAGATGAGCTTGTGTTTTCTGCATGCGGCGGTTGTTTGCAAGCCGCAAAGCTGCAATTATGGAAGCCGGAACACCTGCCTTCTGTCTCACACATGAACACTTCGTTTCAACCCATGCATAAACACGACATCTGCAGGTGTCCAGAGTACTCAATACTTGCTTTGGATTTTGCATCTTCAGAGACACTCAACTACGTGCGAGAAATAGTTAATAAATAATGCTGTTACGTTCTCAGATTATACCGTGTTTTATTACAACACACAGGGCAACGGCCAAAACAAAAGAGGAACAAAGAAACAAATGGCCAAGGCACTTTTTTTTATACGTAAATTTATTCAGAACATATGGCCGGTGAAAGAATATTTACGTTACGAATGTGTTTGAAACTACGTGTTTCATATGCAAAATTCACAGGTCCTATACTCGGACATCTTCATATACGCATGCATCCACGGAGCAGTCGGGTACACCATGTTCACCAGTCCGCCAACCGAAATGGCCGTTACCTAATTACTCCACCTGTACTCATTCATATTTTGAGCAATGCGATACAGTATTAGTCAGAGCCATTCTTTCGGATTTATCCCGGACAGCCAAAGTTACCGCAAAGGCTCTGTCATTTGCCGCGAACAGTGCGAATCTCAAAGACAAATTCTTGAGTGAGCGAGGGCACCTGTCGCACGGGGACGTCGGTGTCCATGACCACGGCGACGTCCATGCCGTCGTGCACGTAGTAGCTGGAGTGCGGAGCGCGCAGCGCGAGCACGCTCTCGCGCGCCCCGGAGCCCGGCTGGCGGCGCACTAGGTACGCGTTCCAGGCTACGTAGCGAAGGTGGCCCACGGGAATGTGCTGCAGCTCAGCATAGTACAGCTTCAGTCGCAAGCGCTCGCCCTCCATGTCGGCCTCTACGCACCACGCCTGCTTGTCTCGGTCGTAGCAATTGGCTGTCGCTGGTGCACACGGTTCCACACCAGTCAGCGTGCTCGCAGTTGCAGACACCTGCATTAAAAAAAAAACTCACCTAGTTCTTCATGCATTCGCCTACAATAACTCGAAGGTTAAAGGGATCTTTTATTTTTCTACTCAGACCCCCACCGCGGTGGTCCAGTGGCTAAGGTACTCGGCTGCTAACCCCCAGGTTGCGAGATCGAATCTCGGCTGTGGCGGCTGCATTTTCGATGGAGGCGAAAATGTTGTAGGCCCGTGTGCTCGGATTTTGAGCGCACGGTAAAGAACCCCAGGTGATCAAAATTTCCGGAGCCCTTCACTACGGCGTCGCTCATAATCATATGGTAGTTTTGGGCTGTTAAACCCCACATATCAATCTATCAATATTCTTCTCAGTCGATGTATTACTCACCCCCCCCCCCCTCCTACCAGGAAGTTTTTCCGCCTATAACTTCGCCTGGTCACCGCCTCTATGATCAGCCTACCTTTCACCAAGCGACGATGCCACGTTCTCACTAGCCCTGTTAGTAGGGAGGCAATCACCAGGCTGAATTCAAGGGCTGACGTATTGGCACCTCGAAATGCACCACGAAAGCACGGACTATTTAAAGTTGGTCCTTTTGGTGGTTCAGCGAATGCCGGCTGTGGTCCATATAACGAGGCAGAGCCGAGAGTGGCTAACAAAAAATATAATTTCTTATAAGGCAGAACAAACTACACACCAACGTGCACACTCAATATTTATCAAATACAATACGACACCACTAACAAGATACTGTAATAAATTCATAACAACGGGAAAACTAACAAAACGCTCTACAATAAAAAATCATGCATTAACTAACCAAGACACTTAAGGGCTAAAATGTTCGCCAAACGTATTCAGTCCAAAGATCTTGGAACTAAGCTTGAATGCTTCTCCTCGAAGAAACACTCACTCCAAGTCCAACGCCGGTTGTCGTCCCGCTGCGTCCAAGGTTTCTCTTCCAGGAACTTTCACGTTATCTACTAACCACACTTGAATTACAAAACTTCTTCACCTGCAACACATCGGCCACTCACGCGCTGCTACTGCAGGTCACGTTTTCGTTCACTGTCGGAAAGCACTCACCTTACCACCAGCTTTGTCAGCGCAAGATAAGCCATCGCTTGCTGGCGGAAAACACCCTTCATGTCCTGATCATTGTTTCCCTAGACCTCTTGCTTATATACGTTCGCTCTGGGTTCTCGAAGTTTCGTGGTCTCGATTTCCACAGGCGCACCACACAGTCAAAGTTGGGGGAAGGGCAGCCCGTGACTCCATGCTGGAGTGCCATGCTCTTTTTAAAGACGACAGTCTTTCTTGGGGAACTTCGACGCTAAAACTTTGGTCTCTCTGTCTATTTCTCTACACTTAATTTGTCTACACTTAACAGTACTACGTACCTTGAACGGCACCAGCCGATGCCCCAATTGGCCGACCCCATCCGCAGCACCCACCATTGTTGCTGAAGGTTGAGCGTTCATACTTGTGCGATTGTCAATTAAAAAGCAATTATTGCACATATCTGAGGCATCATAACAACACGTATATAATTTGTATGTGCGTCTTTTACTAGAAAAGACATACATAAGTAATTCTAAGGACCGTAGCGCTTATGACGCTGCACTGACCATGGAACGCTTGCACGAAATGGCGAGTGCTTCCAACGCTTTGCTAAGACGGCACTGTGGTGGCACCTACCCGTCGCCTTGCGTTCTACACCTTATCACCTCTGAGACGGACGCTCACGTCTGTCTCAGAGCCGGATGCTTCGTTTTGCAAGAAAACTGCCAGACAGCGCTGATGTCTCACGTGTGACGTGACTTCATGCGCTCGTTCGCTTCCGCTGCACGCTCGAGGCACTCAAACGCAGCACCTCCAGAATACCGTTCACCGACTTTCTTGCGCAGAAGCCCAAATTAATGTTTTGTTCACTCTCTCCACACGCAAGACTATCGTCTTTCGACGACATTTGCAGATTACCATGCAGATACGGGGCCAATTTTTTTCTTTTAGATGTTTCCAGAGTTCGCTCGATGTCTGGTCGAGAAGCCTGCCGGTGGTACTTATTTGGCGGTGGCGGTGGCTGCGGCCATTTGAGGAGGAGAGCTGGAGCGCGCGTGCAACGTCTATTGATGCTATTCAAAGACGATAGACCTTCGAGTGGTACTTCAACGCAAAAAATTTTGGTCTGTCTCTGTGTATTTTCGTCTGTACATTTGTCTGTTTGCCCGCCGTAACCACACCCAAAACGGCACCAAGAGGTATCCCTAACGGCTGACCTCATCCGCAGCGCCCACCAATATTTCTCAAGTTTCAGCGTTCATACTTGTGTGATTGTCAATTAAAAAGCAATTATTGTGCCTATATGAGGCACCATAACCACACGTCAACATTTTGTATATGTATCCTTATACTTGAGAAGGCACATATAAGTAATTCAAAGGAGCGTTTACAATGCTGTACTGACAATGAAACGCGATACTCGAAAAGGCAAGTGTTTCCAACGCCTGGCTAAGAAGACACGGTGGCGGCAGCTGCCCGCTGCTTTGTGTTCTACACCTTATCGCCTCCGAGACAGGCGCGCATCTTTCTCCGTGGGCGCGCACGCTTTCCTTCAATTTCGAAGATAACTGCCAAATAGCGCTCGTGACTAACGTGCCTCAATGCGCTTGTTGGCCTTCGCTGCACAGATCGAGACTCTCTAACACAGCGCTTTCAAAATAGAATTCACCAATTTTATCGCGCAGAACATCAAATAAACGTTTTCTTCACTCTCTCCACATACAAGACTTTCGTTTTTCGACGACATTTGCACTGAAACATGCATATACGGGGCCAATTTTTCTTCATCCCGCCGGCTTCTGTCGCGTCTGCTTCGCGACTAGTTTTTACAAGTAGCCGTAAGTAATCGAATGTGGGTGCTTTATTGAGCGCTCGTTTGTGACAGAAATGATGACGTCTACTTCATGATGTCATCTTATGTTACGTAAAGGTGACATCATAATTGCGTCATATGACGGAGTCATCGCGCTATAATATCATGCATTATTCATGTTAATTTTTGCTTTTTATGAGTCATTTGTGGCTTTCACTTCAAGACAGTGTATGCATGCAGCGCTCGGACTAACAGAATGGCGTAAATATGTAATTTCGCTCTTACTTTGCTGATTTGTTCGGTAAAATAAGAACTAAACCACAGCATCTGCAACAGTGTGCATTAATAACCCCTCCCTCATATTTTTTTATATGGAACACATTTCAGAAAAAAGGGATATGACAGAGCGCACAATTTGACAGAGCGCCACCTGAGTTTATCGCTGAGGGGGCGGGAATACTACTTTGCCACAATTAAACACAAGTCAATTTTACTGCTAAACATCTCGGCCCACAAACATACTAGAATAATTTTTCCAAGCGTAACTGCGTAGAAACGCGGCTGCTCCAACTTTTCAATACAATTATGGCCACGTGTTGCAGTTATTAAAAATTTAATTATTAAATCTTACTTTATTGGCCCCTGACAGCCACAACTATTGTCTAACATTCTGTTCCCGTGGATTCATAAGTTATCTTCAAAGGTGGTTTTCATGTTGTTTGCAGGGCTGAATTTTGAAAAGACCATAAAGCTTAATCTTAAACACCCTGTATATTCCCGCCATCTGAGCAATAAAGTGGTTGTAAGTGTGCACGCAGTCATATCTGAACCTTTATTGAAACGTTTTGTGCACACACACACACACACACACACACACACACACACACACACACACACACACACACACACACACACACACACACACACACACACACACACACACACACACACACACACACACACAAGGATTTTCCTTTACAAAACATAACATCTGATCATCATTTTCCTCTTTCATATGAAGCTCGTTCGCTTTAACTGTATAGGAGAAAAAGAGCCAACAGGGAAATGAAGCACAAACCAGTACTGATAAACGTGTTGTTAAACCTCGGGCGCACCTTGGCCTCCGAGATGGCGTTGGCGGACAACATGTACAGCTGGAGTCTGAGCGTGCCGCGTCGCACCAAGTCAGCAGGGCCAGCGGCGCCCAGCGAAAAGCCCCGGATGCGGCCTGACAGGTCCGAGATCTGGTCCAGCACCCCGGAGTCCACTCGTCGGTCACCCTCACCTAGAACCACTCGGTACTGCACGCGGCACGGGTGGTCGAAGCCTGCGTCGCCACTGCTCTGATCAACCACCGGCGCAGTTGCGACGACTGAGAGGCAAACTTCTGTACCGCACACTACAAGTTTGCACAATATCATGGAAAGCCCGAAGCACAGAGATGACAGTGTCAGAATTTAGAAAATTGACGTGGCATTCAACACAGCGTGAAAACTCTGAAGCTATCGTCCTATTCACTTATTCTATTGTGCCTAGAATGCAGTACAGAGCTTTAAGTAAACAGTTTCCTTGCTACTACGCTTTTTTGTTGGGCAACACAAAATAAATCAAAAACAAGTACGCGAATACATACGCATAAAAATAAACGGAAAACCGTTACAAATGAAGGAAGCGACATGAATGGCAATGAAGAGTTCACCCATTTTTAGGAAATTCCCAAACACAGTTCGTGCAAGCTGTGGTAACAGTGTAGAACATAAGGTGTTAGTTCGTCATTTATTCATCAATGCAGATGTCTTATAACTGTTTAAAATTCATTTTTCACTGAGAAACAGTTTAAGATGTTTGGTTCTCGCTGCAGATAAGTTCTCGCCTTGTTATCCACAATATAAACAACGCTGATAAAGCATTTTGCATTTTGTAGAGCTAAAAACAACGAACACAACACGCGAAGACGACAGAATGGACGCTAAACGCCAAGCTTCAGTATACTGTCCTTTTCTTGTGGTGTTCGTTAGCGCTACGAAAACGTTAAATCAACCAAACCTACTTGCCTAGCTTTTGACTTTAGCACTGTCTAAGAGAGTTTCTACTCCTCTAATGAAGTCACAAATGAATCACCCATTAAACAATGGGATTGCGGTTGAATCAACAAAAATAAGTTACGAGTGAACATATTTATATAATGCTGGTCAAATTCTCACGCATTTAAAAAAAATAGTCATAACAATAACCACTTCTGGTGTTTGTTATGCGTGCGCTTCTTTCAAAAAAGTTGTGGTTTCTCTTCTTTTTTTGTTTTCTTCCTTTTTATTTTACAGGGTTATCGAAATAAAAAAAATAACTTGGTTTAGATTGATAAACTGTACTCTGAGAACTGCAATTTCAAAATTTTCACCATCATAAATTCATTATTAGATCAGAAAATTAAGGTAGAAGTTTTATTTTCAAATTTCGCTCCGAAATGCCCGCACTTGACGTCACTAATTTCAAATTCTATTTTTCATATTTTGGCAACATTGGCTCGATGCAGTTTCCTGAAAATTGATATGTTAAGTTTATGGCACCCACATATGGCAATGCATTTCATCTTTACCCAATTAGAAACTACGTTGGACCCAGTAGACGCCGTTAAAATCTTCTCCGTCATGGTGCCTGGTGCCGGAATCACAAGGTGGCATCTGCAGCCTAATTTCAATAACACACGTTCGCCCACTTGCCAAGCGTCGTCTCGCTATAAGAGTGGCGTTTCCGGATATTGTGGAACTGTACCTCACTAATACGCGAAAAATAGTTTTTTCTTCAGTATTCCTTTAAGATCTACCGTCTTAACTGGCGTAATTAGTTTTTTTATAGAACACCTCTCGGTGTTTTTGGAGAGTCACAAGATAAAAAAACAACAACCCGCGAGTGTACCAACTATTGCCACAGCAAATTTTCTTATGTCTAGCCTATTAAACTCTTCAATAATGAATTTAACTTGTTAACGAGGGACTAGGCGTTGTTCCCAAGATATCCCCGTAAAGCACCCATTCCGACGGTAGCAGAGTATTGCACATACTGCCAACCTAGGCAACCTTTACGGTGCCATCTAACAACAAAGTTTCGCCAATTAGCGAAAGAGCCTCGCTGTAATATATGGGTTCAATGATAAATATGCCGGGGACGTAGTTGCAACTACAACAATGAATCCTCGCAAGTGCTGCATTCTTCGAATGCGCATTCCATGGCAGACGCGATTTGGAAATGGTAGCCCAACATGCACAGAAAACCTCATCACAAGGTGAAATAACAGATGCAGAGAGACTGATGCGGCGAACATTTACCTAGCGCTGGCCTAACCGACGACTCGTAAACTTACCAAAAAGTGTTATTGTTTGGCGTGATTGTACCCTTCTGGCTTCGTCACACTAAATAAATTTGCAGTGGCCAGAGCAGTTTCCCGGCTTTATCCTATCTCCCCCCCCCCCCCCCCCCCCCCCCCCCCCCCCCCCCCCCTTTTTTTAGAGCAGATGAAGCTTCACAGTGGAAAAACACACCGTTCTCTCTCACGATCACACTCCTTATAAGTTGGAACCCGCTGGAGCTTTCAATTTGCTGCCAGCATAGTAGAGAGTGCCAGTACTGTACCTTGGCCCCCTATTAGAGCCGCAGCACTAATACCCTCTATTGCGAGACATTAGGCCTACGGAAGTTACGCTTAATGTGTTCTTCTTATTCCATGATATTTTGTTCGCTTTTCAAGTATTGTTGACAACATGCGCTCCCGTAAATCAAAGCACAGTTTGGCAAATGCTCATCGTAATCTAAATTGACATTCACTGGTGTTCACAGCTCCTTGCGGTATATCAACCGTGATCGATTGGTAGCTGTGACCTGCTGCTGAATACCATGCATAAATCTTCATCTTTCACGTTTTCCTTGATTCTACATTGATCCTTTTGTTCACCTAACTTCTATTCAACGGTTTGATTCGCTTCTGCGAATTGTTGCAATAAAATATTCGTCCTCGTTTCAGCGCAGTGCGGAGGGCGCTGTGCATTCTGTGAAAACAAATGTGGCACTTACAGCTTGCGTGTCCAGAACGCGCAACACGCCATTGTATAGCGCGGCACTGGAGTTACTCACTCTGCACTATACCACTTCACACCACGGGAAGGCACGCACAGTCTGACAGGATCCGCTACGCGAGCAATTTATCTTCTCCGGTTGGGTCTTTCTGTCACACAGGCAGGTGCGTACGCATGTGGGTGGCCACTCGCTGTGTATACGCCGCCAACGCCGAGCCACTGATCTGCAAGGCGTGCACTGTCGTTTGTTCATCGTTTGCAGAAAGCCAGAAAACTGGACACTGCAGTGGTGGTGATTGCGGCAGAGAGTAGCGCCCGGTGCCCTTACGAAAGTTTTTTGGTAGAATTTATTGTTCTGTAGAACATTGCATCACTTGAATTTTTTGTCAAGAACAAGATGGATTTCTTTATTCACTTAAAGTAATTATTTGTGTATGAAACCAGAGTTCTGTGCCTCAACACCGTGTCATAACGAGTCAGCCCCAACAACGCTCTTGCAAGCTATGTGCCCGTTATTAGAGAGCTCTCAAAAAAAAAAAGAAAGAAAGGTTAACCAGGCTAAATAATCCCCGTTACCAGCTTTGCATGACGGAAAGAAGAAGGAGGGAAGAAGGATGAGAAGGAGCAGAGTAGCTCACACATCGCATGGACACACGTGCAACGAAGCGTTCATTGTTCACATCATCCCCAACGGCCATGCAGGCTTTGAGATCTCAAGAAGTGCAGGACAGCGTTCGTTTCATGCACATTTCACATACAAGAGGCTACACTGTCCCAATAACTCCTGCTTTGAAAAAGCCTGCAATAAAGTTTTGCAAAGCTGGGCGAAGGACAATTAAGCCTCTCACTATCGTATATCCAGCAGTCACACAAAAGGTGTTTCATGGCTCAGCGACTCAAATGTATTAAAATACGCATTGTACGCAATTTCAGTTAAATAGGCATTCATAAGCTAAGCTCGTGTAGTTGCAGGCTACATAATATTGTTTCTTTCTTCCCGGTAAAATCGGGTAAGTGATGTAATTTTTTTTATGAATTCATGGCTTGTAGACGCCAGTGGCAAAATTCTAAGATATCTCATCCTTGACAACACAATAAATGTGCTTTCACTTTTCTAATGTTCACTAAAGGCATCGTAGTAACGATTTCATTCATCAGTGGTGCCGTAGCACCTCGGTAGCCACAGCTGTACTTAGTCAAGGTCTTTGCAAGCTCTTTATTTTTCATAGTGTAATATTCTCTCTGACGCTGTTTATGTGTGCCTTGATATGTAGCTGACAGCAGTGATTGCTAGTCTGCCTCTAAATCTCAAAATCTAGCACAGAGATTTGGCGATTGTTCTCTCATTCAACTGAGCTACAAGGAACAATAAGTAAAGTTATTTCGAGAATAATGACATAACAGGAAGCCTAAACTGTCGACGTCTGAGATATTTGTGGAAGAAAGTGTGCAGAAAATTGAAGTAATTATACTACTGCTTTATACAAAATGTTTCAGTTAAGAAGCACCAAGTAATGAAATATTGAACACGAGTGCTATGCGTGTCCAATTAGTACAGAATTGTTCTGAGTCATACATAAAGCTTGTCAGCATATTCATTACAATCATCCAAAGTGAGAAATCATCAAATATTTTAATGAATTTGTCAAATGGTGAGTCTATAGAAAAATCATCAGTACAAAATTTGTAGCGCTGGTTCAGAAGCGTCAAATTTATCAATGTTTGGTAAGATAACTAGCATGCTTAATTTTATTCTAACCTTTGTTTGAACCGTGATTATCTTGAGAAATACCACGTGACTGCCCTCACACGCGGTGCTTTAACTGCGCTCAAACGTAAGTTGAACGAATTGTCAAAGGCTGCTTCGCCCAAGAATGTAGATTGAAACTGCCTGTTCAATCAACCCTCTTTTGCACATTTCAACGAAATTTGAAGCACTCAGAACGCCGACATGAAGCTCTGGTGTGTAAGGGAGTGTACCCAATAATACAGACTAAAAAGTGAAATATATTATGTTAGTATCATAAAATAATGCATGGACATCGCGTAACATGTTTTAGAACGTGTTGTACATCGATGTAAAAATAATAACAATAAGGCTTTTCGTAACATTCGCCTGATTGCACATGCCTTGATATGTGCGAAAGAAAGAAAAAGAAAAGAAAATGGCACCTGTTTCAGATAAATACGACACGTGCACCAACTGACATGCAACGAATACTGTTTCATACTCACACCCTTCACTCTGTTCTACGCT